TTTTGTCTCCTAGAGGTATAATATGACTATTGGTGATGGTGACCATTAACTTCTTTTTAGAAATCGCTGACTACCAATGATTTCAGGGAGCAAAGTTACCAAACAGCTCTGGGACACAACATGTTTTGCAACTCATTTAGTCAGTTTTTTTTTTTTCATTGACTCATTCAACATCTCTCAGCCCTGCCATGGGTCAGCAGATTTGCCAGCTGTGAGATAACTGAGGCACATAAAACCCGGCCTCTGCGTGCACGGATGTCACAGTTCAGTGGGGAAGGCGACCGTGTAAACTCCTAACTGGACCACAGTGTGCTGGTGCTGTAACAGAGCAATGTGCAGCAAGCATTTGGAGCATCGATGAGCAAATGGTTTATTCTACTGGACTTAGAGAGCGGACAGGGAAAAGGTCGTTTGGACAGATCATGTTGATGGAGTCACATTTACATGAAGTTGGATTTCTTTTTCTTTTCCTTTTTTTTTTTTTGAAACAGAGTTTCACTCGTGACAAAGACAGTGCAGTGGCGTGGTCTCAGCTCACTGCGACCTCCATCTCCCAGGTTCAAGAGATTCTCCTGCCTTAGCCTCCTGAGTAGCTGAGAGGACAGGGGCACGCCACCACGCCCAGCTAATTTTTGTATTTTTAGTAGAGGTGGGGTTTCACCATGTTGGCCAGGATGGTCTCGATCTCTTGACCTTGTGATCCACCAGCCTCGGGCTCCCAAAGTGCTGGGATTATAGGCGTAAGCCAATTTCTTGAAGCAGGCAAAGGACAAATGGAGGAGGAAAAGCATTCCTGGAAAAGGTAACAGTGTAAGGAAATGCATACAGGCATAGGCCCCCATGGAAAGACCAGGGAACGTAAAACAGCTTTTACTGTTAGAGTATTAGGAGGATGGATTGAGAAAATGTGTAGGGTTCGTATTGCAAAAGGAGCTGCGGCCCCCTGTTGGGAGTCAGTGACGTAGATAGAAAACAATTTTTGAAGTAAAAATGGATGGCAATTCCTACGATATATTAGAGGGGTGTGAATTGTAGGCAGGAAAATCTGGTTAGTAGGAGACTCTGGGCAGATTTTCATGGTCAGAACAGGGGATGATTGTCAGATCCAGGAAGCCGACATATTTGCTTTATCAGGTAGAGAATTGTCGATATTTTTGTTGCCTAAATAAACATGGATGTCTTTCACCATATGCATTCTGCATTTGCTTCAATCCCCACTGCTCTCTATTGCATGAAACCCAACCAGCCTCACTCTGGTTGCTACAGGGATTTGGGTTTCAACCAAGGAAACACTGGTGGGGATACAGAGGCCAGCAACCTTTGCCAGCCCAAAGGTGTTTATAAAAGAGGCAGCTTGCTCCTTTCTGGAAATATCTACTTCCATTTTCAGCTTCTCCTGAGATTTTTCCAGCTCTGTAACAAAGGCCCTGCCCTCTTTTCCTTTCCTGTGCACTCTCTGACCTTTTCAATGGTATTAGGAGAAGAGTACAGTGTGTGTTCCTCAAGGGCAGGGATTAACTAGCTGCTTCCGTGAAGCAATTCTGAACGGTAAATGACCCTCATGGAATAATATTCATTTCCCCTGTTATTGGGGTGCCTACACAACATAAAATTAATATTACCAAAAAGACCTGACTCCCCCAGCACAGAGATCCCTGAGAAAACTACACACTGAGGGAGGCTTTTCTAGAAAGGGCAGTTCTTAGGGAAGCAAGGGCCCCCCAGGGCTGACTGTTCATAGGCCCTAAAGATAAAACAAAATGGCTTTATTTAAAGATTTATTTAAGATGTTTTAAAAATTGAGTAGAACATACATTTTTAATACTGATTGATATTATTGTAAAGCATTCTAATGAGAACCTGCCCCACGGGTCCTTGACTGCTACACAGACAGAATATTCCTTTGCATTTCTACGATGAGTCATGTTTTAGCCATGGATTAATGTATTGATGAAAGGTGCCCCCGTTCTAGTAGGGGCAGAGGGAAAGCGAGTGTCGGAAGGCAGCAAAGAGAAGAAAGAAGAGAACCATGGTGTATAAAAGTCACGTTTTAGGCTGCATTTCAAAAAACCCTTCCAAAGTAGAGAGGCTTCATGCTCACATTCTGAAACATTCCTTGTAGTTTAGAAAATCTGTGCATTTGAGGAGCGGTTGAAGACTATGAATGCTAAGACATGCATCATTAATTAAATTATAGTTCCCATTTATTGAACATTGGCTATATACCAGGCAGTGACTTCCGCTTTTACACATATTAGTTCATTTAAGTCTCAAAACAACAATGGTATTATTCTATTATTCCCATTATACGGAGGCGTAGAAGCATTTGATAACTTATCTAAGCTTATATTGGAAGACAGTGCTGGAACTAGGATTTATGGAAGGGCAATTTGGCCCGCGGGCTCACTTTTTTTATGTGACTAGATTATCCTGACGCTCTTGGGTGTTCCTCAAGTGAAATTGGTCTCCTAACTTTGCGTCATGAAGTTCAATATGTCCTATGTATTTTCAGCCTTCCATCTTTGGGAACTATCTACCTAGCATGGTGGTGAAATGTGGGCTCTGGAGTCAACACTGCTTTCCAGGCTGGGTGTGGTGGCTTATGCCTGTAATCCCAGCACTTTGGGAGGCCGAGGCAGGCAAATCATCTGAGAACAGGAGTTCGAGACCATCCTGGCCAACATGGTGAAACCCTGTCTGTACCAAAAATACAAAAAATTAGCCGGGCGTGGTGGCAGGCACCTGTAGTCCCAGCTACTCGGGAGGCTGAGGCAGGAGAATTGCTTGAATCTGGGAGGTGGAGATTGCAGTGAGCTGAGATCGTGCCACCGCACTCCAGCCTGGGAAACAAGAGTGAAACTCGGTCAAAAAAAAAAAAAAAAAAAAAGAACTGCTTTCTAGTCCCAGCTCTGTCCCTTGATCTGTGAGACAGACACTGGGCAAGTTCTGTAACATAGCTGAGCCTCAGGAATTATAAAATGGGTACGTAATTGTCAGCACCTCCACGGTAGTGTTGTGTAAACTGAAGGAGATGGTCCATTTGGACTTCATAGTGTTTAGCACTACGGTGAAATAAATGCATGTCCAAGAAGTAGCTGAAGTTCTTAAGGGATCCTGGTGTCACTGAGCATGTACATGGGTTCTGAATGCACCTGCAACTCTGTGGGGTCTCTGAAACATTTTGTTTTGTTGTTGAACATTTGGGCAAGCTCAGTGTTAGTTTTAGGTCCAGAGAATAATCCCAATTCAAACAAACTTGCTACCTCTGAAGCAGGTTCATTAGGCAGGTTTTTCCACACACAGCTCTAATTACCACCACTCAGACTGCCCAGGGGAGTGGGCTGCTAACTAGGTCAGGATCTGAGGAGCCCGGCCAGCAGCCTCCTGGGTGTCTCCTCCTAAGTGCACGGCCATCTGCAGGCTTCTGCGATATTTCTTGTTTTTGAATTTATAGAACCATTAGCCTGGAATCTAAACAAAACACCTAGTCTTAATAGCTTAGTCAGTAGGTGGTTCACCAACAATTTCAAAAACTAGAAGCAATAGTCAGTTCCCAGAGGAGTAGCAGTTGTTGTTTGGAAATAATTCTCCAAATTGCATTTATTTCACAGCAGTCTGAGGTCACAAATTCAAGAGCAATGAGAACTCTATGCAATTAGACAACTCGATCAGAATAGATCTGTCAAGATGACATTCCATCTAAAGAATCAATTGAGATGGAGAAATAATTTAGCTGCTGCTGTTGTTATTTAGATTTTTTATTATTATTTTACAATTTGTTGGAGTGAGGAAGCTGAGCATAGATGAGTGCTGGGCAGCTCCTGGCATCTGTTGCTTGATTAGATAGAAATGCATTCTCCTCTGTGTGTTGTTTGTGCTGTATTAATGGTCAAATAGGTGAAAAGTGTTTCCTGAATCAGTAGATTGACAACCAGTGAGCTCAAAAAAGGGTGTCCAAGATTTTTTCCAGCTGAATGTGAGTCCATGTCTTCTCCTCTCCCCTTCTCCCCTACACTTTAGGACCAATCTGTGTTTGGCAGCCCATGGCAAAACTTTCAAGACTCACCAGGCATCATTGATCCAGTTACCTAGGATTATATATTGACATTCAGGGGTTATAAGATAATATGTTTTCTTGAAGCCATATGGCTGATTTCTGATTTCAGGTAGAGGATACCATCTATCAAAGACAAATCTTTGAACTGCAATTTAACGCCAATTTCGTCAACCATTACCAGTGAAAACTACACACACGTGCACATGCAAACACTCACTTTTTCCCCTTAAATGACAGAGAGAGGAGGTAGAATAGCAGTGAGTGGAAAGGTTAGCGAGGAGCATTCCCAAATGTGTTTTCTGCTTTGTTGTTCTAGAGTTCCAGTATTTTAACTTTGGCTGGGAGAGTGATGATGGACTGATCCCTTCTTTCTCTCTTATTTTTCTATTTATTTATATATTTTTCTATTTATTTATTTATTTTTATAGAGATGAGTTCGCACTATGTTGCCCAGGCTGGTTTTGAACTCCTGAGCTCAAGCCATCCTCCCGCCTCAGCCTCCCAAAGTGCTAGGATCATAGGCATGTAGCACCACACCTGGCCTTTTATTCCTCTTTATAATGAATAATCATGATTTCTTTTAGGGAGAATTTTCATTTGTGCCAGGCACTGTGCCTGGTGCCAGAAACCCCTAAAGTTCTTGGAGCTGGAAGATGTAGTAGATCTCATTCAACTGGAGAGGACTGTGGCTTGAAGAAGCGAGGGACTTGCCCAAGGTCGCTCTGCTGTAGATTGCAAGTCTTATCTATGACCCAGGTCTGTTTCTTAGCCTGTTCCTCTCTTCACCACTGACATCGCCTTTTAAAAATGTCAGTTGATAGTGTAAACCAAAAAGTATCTGAGACAGGTCTCAATCAATTTAGAAGTTTATTTTGCCAGGGTTAAGGACATGCCCATGACACAGCCTCAGGAGGTCCTCACAACATGTGCCCAAGGTGGTCAGGCTACAGCTTGGTTTTATACATTTAGGGAGACATAAAACATCAATCAATACATTAAGGTATACATTGGTTCAGTCTGAAAATGCAGGACACCTGGAAGTAGGGACGTCTAGGTCATGGGGAGATTCAAAGATTTTCTGATTGACGGTTGACTGAGTTATTATCTAAAGAACAGGAATCAATACAAAGGAATGTCTGGATTACAAGAAGAAGTTGTAGAGACGGAGGTTTTATCATGCAGATGAAGTCTTCAGGTAGCAGGCTGCAGAGACCAGGCTGTAAATGCTTCTTATCAGACTTAAAGAGTCTCTTCTGTCAGTCTTAAGGTCTCTGTTAATGCTGGTCAGCTGGGCCTGAGTTCCAACAGGGAGACGGGTATAATGAGGCACGTCCAACTCCCAATTCCCATCATGGCCTGAACTATTCGTAGTTTTTCAGGTTAACTTTGGAATGGCCTTGAATGAGAGAAGGGTTCCATTCAGAAAGTTGGGGACCTTAGAATTTTATTTTTGGTTTACCACAGTAATGTCAGGCTTCTCAGGGAATTTGATATATAAGAGAGAAATAATAACTACTCGGTGTAGTTACAGATCTCAGCCTGGTCTAGTTTATGGCATAAATATTATAAAACAGCCTCCTGTCCTTGGTCACATATGGGAAACCTTTAGCCTGTGAGGGTGGAGGAAAAGCTTCCCTTCTGCCCTCTTTGTAGGTTTGCGGAAATGACTGATTATAGACAGATTAATAGGAAAAAAATGCCATAGCAAATTTATCAACAGGTTATGGACACAGAAGTCCCATAACACGAGACTCAAAGAAGGACCAGATAGTTGAGGCTTCAACGGAGGAGAGGTAAGTGGTGGATGTAGGCAAGTATGAGGGGTAGGAAATGGTTTTCAGGGGAAATGAATGAGCCCAAGAAACAATTGCTTGGAAGAGAGTTCCTCTGGGCTCTGGGGAAGTGGTGCAAAGGTGAGGGGCAGAATTTCACTGCAAACAAAGATTGTCTTATTATGCAGATAAAGTCTCCCAGGTAATTTCTTGGAGTTGCCTTCATGAGAATAGATGAAAAGTCTATCTGGGTGTGGTGACAACTTCTAGTCTGCTGGATTCTTTCCTGGTTATTTGATGAGATTCCTAGGGAGCAAGTCTTGAGACTACTGTTTTTCTTGTGGAAAGAAGTTTCCTTAGTCAGATAAGGAAATTCAAGAGACAGCCCCTCCCTGGGCCAGGGGTGAGGGTAGAAGAGGTCAGAAAGTCCTGACTATGAGGCTGCTTCTAAAGTCTTTTTGTTAAAGCATGCAGATACACGAGACTTCTGGGTTGCCATTTTCTGAGCCCCAGAAGCCCAATAAAATATCAGAATTTCCTTCTGAATTCTTGTTTTTCTTCTCCCCCATCCCTGCTCAGATCGTCCGCATAGTTTTCTGGCCTGTGTCCTTTGGTTGGGGCAATGTGCACTGCAGGCCGCTCAGTAGCCAAGTCACAGAAATCACACCCCTGCACACCCGGCATGTGCCAGACACTATGCTGAGCATGTCACACTGGGTGTCTTACTCACAGAGGCCCTCAGGAAGTTTTTTATTTTTACTTCTTCCAAGCTAATTGCACTGTTAACTGTGCTCATTCCCAAGAGCCCTGACAACTTGAGCCCCATCCCCATTGGGATAACTACTTGTGTGAATTTTGAGTCAGCACCCTACAGCCATTCAGCCTCAGTTTGCAATGAAGAAAATTGGGGACTCTCAGATCTCTAAGGGAAGGTCAGGAAAGTGCCAACCAGCTATAATCCATGAATTCCTGGACCCCGAGCTTTGATTTATTGACTATTTCCTCTGATCTGGCCTCCCACTTGATGGTTTTTCATCAGAAATTAACATTTAGAAGTATCTTCATGTACAGAACCTTTACATAAATTTACCTTAGAGTGGAGTAAAAAGGAATTACGTAATGCCCATGACACAAACATGGGGGTGGGGGGAAGTTCATCATCCTGCATCCTGTTGGTGGTTCTTATTCCAAAAGGATTCAGTAGAGGATTTCCTTAAGTACCAAGATTCCCTTGTGAATTCCAAGTACAATTCAGTTTACATATATTTTTAAGGAACACATCTGTCATGTGTAAATCAAGATGCATTTGAATAATCTACTTGCCATGCCTGAAAACTGTCATTTCTTTTTTCTTTATGTCTCTTTGTCTTTTCTCTTTCACTACTACTGAGGATTCTACTGCTGTCACAGAGAAATAGAGAAAGGCAAGGTAAAAAGCTGAGGACGCACAGTGCCCATCACTGAGAAGCACAGTGCCTGGGGAAAATGGAGTGGCCAGTGTGACATGTTAGTGGGAAATCTGTACCCCAAATTTGTTGATCTTATTTTGAGCCACAGCTAATTGTACATCACACCCTGGCTCCATGTCATGATCTGTGTATATTTTGCAGAGAAATAAAGGAAGCAAACCTTGTATTGACAGTCTGTTACATGATAAGTGCAACACTGGGCTATTTATCTAATCTTTAGAAGAACTTGGTGAGACAGTTATTTTCCCATTGCATGCTTTAGAAAACTGAGGACTCACTCAATTATTTATTTATTTTAAAAGGACACTGTGTTGTTCTTTGGTGATTTATTATGGTGAGATTCTAATTATTTAGCTGGTGTTTATTTAGCTTGCCCTGATGTGAGGCACTATGCTGCATGCTGGGCCTAAGATAAGGCGCAAACACTGGAGATAGACTTTATTTATTTATGTATTTATTTATTTATTTATTTAGAGATGGAGTCCTGCTGTGTCACCCAGGCTGGAGTGCAGTGGCATGATCTCGGCTCCCTGCAACCTCCGCCTCCCCGGTTCAAGCGATTATCCTGCCTCAGCTTCCCAAGTAGCTAAGGCTACAGACGTGCACCACCTTGCCCAGCTAATTTTTGTATTTTTAGTAGAGATGGGGTTTCACTATATGTTGGCCAGGCTGGTCTCGAACTCCTGCCTGCCTTGGGATCCCAAAGTGCTGAGATTACAGGCATGAGTCACTGCACCCGGCCCTGGAGATAGACTTTAAATAATCACAAACTGAAGTGAGATGGCAAGGTCGCTAGTGGGTTGAAGGGAGAGCTACCTAGAACTGCCTGTTGCCAATCTGAGAGGAGGATTTGGACTAGTTAAAAATGCCAGAGCAGGCTTCTCTGATTGTAGACATGAAGGAGCTGGAGTTAGTTTGGTTAGGGAGGGTTTCATAGAGAAGGAACCGAATGTGCAAATGTCACAGGGCAGGAAGGAGAAAAGCAAGCCAATGGAGCTGGAGGTCAGAGCAGGTGGAGACAGTGCCAAGTCTGTAAGGCACATTTAGGAGCTTCATTTCTATTAAAAGAATAGAAGATATGAGTGAGGCTGGGCTGAGGGGAAAGTGATGACCTGAAAAATGCTTTGTTTGTTTAAATATAATTTTGGCTGCAATGGGGAGAAATGCTTATGAGTGGGCCTGAGTGCACCTGGAGACCGTTTGAGATGCAAGGCAAGAGTTGAGAGAGGATGGTGGCTTAGGCTACAGTGATGGGTGGAAATGGAGAAATGCACACAGATTTGAAAGACCCTTAATCATTGAGACTTGGTGATAGACTGCATATCAGAGGAATAAGAGTCATATCAAGGATGACACCCCATTTTTTGACTGGCCTAATTGAATGGCTGGTGGGACATTCACTGAAATAGAAAGTACAGAAATAAGACGCTATTATGAGCCTGTAATAAGTTCATTATGAGCTTGCTGTGGACATGGCTACTTTGAATTGCTTTGCAGTTAAGAGCTGTTGAAAAGAATGCAAGGTATACAGGTCTGTATTACTCAGAGACATAAAAATCAATGGGAGGAGATTTATTAGGGGAATTGGCTCACCTGATTATGGAATCTGAGAAGTCCTGTGACAGCCATCCACATATGGGGGACCCTGGAATGCCAGTAGTGTTGTTCGGTCCAAGTTCCAGGGCCTGAGAACCTGAGGTGGGAGTGGGGGTTGCTGGGCTAAGTCCTCGAGTCCACAGGCGAGAGAGCCTGGAGTTCTGCTGGCCAAGGGCGGGAGAAGAGTGTGTCCGAGCTCCAGGGAAGGAACCTATTTGCCTCGCCTCTTTTTTGTTCTGTCCAGGTCCCAGCCTATGGGATGGTGCCCACATACAGTGAGGGCGGATTTTCCCCACTGAATCCACGTAGACTCACATGCCAGTCTCCTCTGGAAACCCCCCACAGACACACCCCAAAATCATCCTTTACCAACTCTCCAGGTGTTCCTTAATCCAGTCAAACTGACACCTAAAGTTAATCATCACAGGTCCACCTTTTGTCAACTTGGCACCTCTATGCTTCCTTTAAACCAAACTTAACCTCCAAATGAAGACAATAACAAGAAAATAGTTCCACCTAACACGGTGAAACTATCTGCATACAACGGAAAATGTGCTAATCTCTTCCCTAGAAGAGAAGGTAAAGTCTTTGGATGATAATTGAAACGCTATGATGTAAAATTAACAACACGTAAATACTGATATAAAGTCAAAAAATCTTGTTATACATAATAAAGGGATAAGAGAGGAGCAAAACCAAAGATATTTGCTTAATGTAAGCATAACGTGCATAATATGTACACCAAAACATATCTTTAACAAGATAGGAAGAAAATACTCATGACAATTACTGTCCTTGTTTCTGTAACTAGTTACCCGGCCATAGCTAGTATTTGTGACTGCCTTCCACTACCCATTCTGTATAATTTTACCTGCAGCAAGCAGCTCAGCTGGTCATGGTTCATTACCTGGTGGGGTGACTGAACCTTTATTCCTGAGGAATCTGGGTCACTCGTAGTCCTCCCTGGATTGTGTTGAACCTTTATTCCTGAGGAATCTGGGTCACTCGTAGTCCTCCCTGGATTGTGTTGAACCTTTATTCCCGAGGAATCTGGGTCACTCGTAGTCCTCCCTGGATTGTGTTGAACCTTTATTCCTGAGGAATCTGGGTCATTCGTAGTCCTCCCTGGATTGTGTTGAACCTTTATTCCTGAGGAGTCTGGGTCATTCATAGTCCTCCCTGGATTGTGTTGAACCTTTATTCCTGAGGAATCTGGGTCATTCGTAGTCCTCCCTGGATTGTGTTGAACCTTTATTCCTGAGGAGTCTGGGTCACTCGTAGTCCTCCCTGGATTGTGTTGAACCTTTATTCCTGAGGAGTCTGGGTCACTCGTAGTCCTCCCTGGATTGTGTTGTGGTTTCCCATTGACCTTGATCGTGGGGCATGGTAATATTAACAGACACCCTAAGGGATCTCCTGTATTCCAGGCATACTCTTCCTTTCATCCAATGGAGTAGTAATCCAGTTTCCCCTTCCTAGTCTGGATGAGTTACCCAGTCAGCACCGTAATATAGCCAGTTGACTCAGAAGCATGAGGCCTCCAAAGTGGCTGGGGGGCGGGGGCGTGGCGGGGCAGGCTAAACTTCCAGTTCAATGGAATCATTGTTGTGTCTCCTGATGGAAACATTCCTCTCTCTGGAACTAAGACCTCGAGGTTCAGCACATAAAATCATGGGAAAAGGAAGCAAAAGCTTTGCCAGTGGGTTACTAGGGGTACTGGTGAGTGACGCTCCCACTCTGTGATTCCTGACTCCATGTGTCCTGACTACGGGAAAAACAGCATCATATATTGGATGCTGATTCAGAGCACACACAGCCTTCTGGAAAACCTTGCCCCAGTCCTGCAATGTTAGCTGGTCCTGTAACTGCAACTTCAAAAGGCCATTTTACTGTTCTGTCAAGCTTGTTGCTTCAGAACGGTGGGACGCAGGGTAAGACTAGTGGATCCCATGGACTTGGGCCCATTGCTGCACTTCTTTGGCTGTGAGGCGAGTTCCTTAGTAGATACACTGTGTGGAATACCATGAGAGTGGATAAGGCATTTTGTGAGTCCACAGATGGTAATATTGGCAGAAGCATTGCGTGGAGGGAAGGCAAACCTGTATCCAGAGGAAGTATCTATTCCAGAAAGGACAAAATGCTGTCTTTTCTATGATGGAAGCCTTCCAATGTAATCAACCTGCCACCACATAGCTGGCCGATTGCCCTGGGGAATGATGTCATATCAGGAGTTCAGTGTTGGTCTCTGCAACTGGCAGACTGAGCACTCTGTGGTGGTTGTAGCTAGCTTAGTCTTGGCAAGTAGAAGCCATGCTGCTGAACCCGTGCACAACCCTCATCCCTACCACCACAGCCACTTTGTTCCTGAGCCCACTGGGCAATGACAGGGGTGCCCGGGAAAAGAGATTGATTGGTATTCACAGAATGGGTCATCCTACCCTCCTGAATGTTAACATACTCCTCTGTGGAGGTCATCCTTGGGTGAGCATTTACATGAGAAACAAATATCTTCACATCCTTTGCCGACTCAGAGAGATCTATCCACATATCTATTCACTCAGTGTTTTTGCCACCAATTTTCTAATCATGTTCCTTTCAAGTCCCTGACCATCCAGCCTATGAATCAGCACCTAATCACTTATCTGGCCATTTTTCCTCTAAGCAAAGTGCACAACCAGGTGCACTGCCCTAAATTCTGCTCCTTGAGATTTTCCTTTACCACTGTCATTAAAAGATGTTCCAGAAAGGGGCTGAGGTGCTGCAGCTGTCCACTTTTAGCTGTATCATACAGAACAATTTGTCCACAAAGCCCGTTGGCTGATCATGGGGACTCCCCATAAGGCCATAGGTGCAGGTGGTGGGAGAGAAGGCAGTGTGATAGGAGTAGACACCAAGGACATTTGGGCCATTTCTTCATGTAACTTATTTGTACCTCCAGGGCCTGCGCTGGTCCATTATTTGATGAGGAACTGCTGCTGTGCATGGCCTTCCTGGCTTGGTAGCTCAGATGACACCCAGTTCATAATGGGCAGCTCAAGTCACATGGCAATTGGTGGCCCATGGTCAAGCGTTCAGTTTCTGTTAAGTCCCAGTAGCTGACCAAGAGCTCTCTCAAAAGAGTACTTATCTATAGATGATGGCAGGGCCTTGCTCCAAAATCCTAAGAACTTCTGCTGCGATTCTTCTATAACGCCCTGCCAACAGCTCCAAACAGCATCCCTATCTGCCACTGACATCTTGGGTATCATTGGATCTGCTGGGTCATATGGCCCAAGAGGAAGAGCAGCTTGCACAGCAGCTGGGACTTGCTGTAGAGCCCTTCTGTTTTGGACCCCACTCAAAACTAGCAGTCTTTTGGGACACTCAACAAATGGGCCAGAGTAACACACCCAAGTGAGGAATGTGTTGCCTCCAAAATTCAAATAGGCCCACTAGGCATTGTATCTCTTTCTCGGTTGTAGGAGGAGCCAGATACACAACATATCCTTCATCTTAGAAGGAATATCTTGACATGCCCCATACCACTGGACCATCAGAAATTTCACCGAGGTAAAAGGCACTTGAATTTTAATTGGATTATCTCCCATGCTCTGATATGCAAATGCCTTACCAATAAGTCCACAGTAGTTGCTACTTCTTGGTCATGAGGTCTGATCAGCAAAAGGTTATCAATGGAACAGTCTGATATCTTATGGAAGGGAAAGACAATCAAGATTCCTGCAAGCTGGATTGTGACATAAAGCTGGTGAGCTGATTTATCTCTGATGTGAGATAGTGAGGGTGTGTATTGCTGGCCTTGCCAGCTGAAGGCAAAGTGCCTCAGGTGGGCCTTATGAACACAAATGGGGAAAAAGGTATTTACCAGTTTAATAGCTGCATCCCAGGTACCATTTTGTAAACTGCATTCAACTTGTCTTTGACAGTTGGTTGAGTGCCATCACTTGGTCCCCACCACCTTGGTATCCAATTGCTCCCATTGAATTTAAGTTTTCCAACTGCATAACAGCAGTTCCCATGGTAAGATCTGGTCTACATAGAAGAGCAATCACAGAGCTCTTCAGGGATGCTGGGGCTCCCCTCACAAATCCATTGTTCAAAGTATTGATGAAAGGTCTGTCTTCTGGACCCTCCTGGTGTGGCTGAGTAGGGTTTCAGTGACAAATCCACTATAGCTTTCCAATCTCCCTAGGCCTTTGAATCCCTTCCTCTGTGTTAGCCCAAGGGAGATCAGGCATCTCCAGCTCACTCACAGTGGGTCATGTTTTTTGATCCATGTTTCACCAACCAATCAAACAAACTCACTCCCTGAGCTGCAAAGTTAAATTGAGGACCTCTGCTCTGAGGGTCCATTTAAGTAAATTTGGCCTGATCCAACTTTATATTTCTTCCACCATTTTCCCACACTCTCAGTGTGCATTCCCACAAGTGTTCCCTGGACTTCTGCTTGTATAAATTGGAAAACTGAAGTAGCTCTTTTGGAACATGGCACACCTCCTCCTGAATCACACTTTGAACCTCACCTCTAGGCGCCTGCTGGGACTCAAGTCTAGTTACAGATTCAGAAGCAAAGAGGGGCAGTGGGGGTGGATTCTGAGGAGACTCAGCTTTGTCTTGCTTGGCAACTGCCTCATGGAGGCTTTTACCATTTTTTTAGGCATTGCAGGGTTAACTCCTTCAGACAGAGGTGGGAAACCCTATACTATTGTGGGTGGGAACCATTTCTGCTGGCAAACAACACTCATCAGAATTTCAGAGCTCAGTGTCCCCAGCCTCATCGGAGCCCTCCCACACATCCCCATCTCAACTTACAGATCCCATTCTGTCTCAACCGATGCCCTCACTTTAACCATAGACACCTACGGAGCTGAGAGTTCAGCTTTTGCTGTGATTCAGTCAGTCATATGATAAGCGCTGTTGTCTGATTTTCAGCAATCCCAGACCTGTGGCTACAGGGGAGGAGATTCAGACTCAGGGCACACTTAGAAGCTCTTCGGCTATTTATGTAGAGCTGGAGCAGGAAATGGAATACGTGAACTCATTCTTTTCTTTCATCCCTTTGTCCACTGACATTAGGAGCAACCAACCAAAGTCATTATATTCCTTGGTTTTGCACAAATGTTAAAGGTATCATATATAGAAGTCACCAAGTTTCTTGTCTCTTTTAAGTGGTGAGTTAAAAGTACCAAATGTACCTATTTTGTGTATCTCTAGGAACAGTTTGCACTAGAGAGTTCAGTGCTGTCTGTACTGTTAGAAGTAGAGTCCTTGGCATTTTTAGATCTAAGTAGATTCGATAGCCAATTCTAGAAACCCCAAATCAATTATGAAAACCTCTAGAACCACTGTTGATACTAAAAGCTGCACTAGTCAGTGTTCTTCAGAGAGACAGAACCAACAAGCTATTTATAGATATATAGATATACGTGAGGGGATTTATTAGGGGGATTGACTCACCTGATTATTGAGGCTGAGAAGTCCCGTGACAGCTATCTACGTGCTGGGGACTCTGGAATGCCTGTAGTGTTGCTCAGTCCAAGTTCCAGGACCTGAAAACCTGGGGTAGGAGTGGGGGTTGCTGGTGTAAGTCCTAGAGTCCAAAGGCCAGCGATGCTGGGGTTCTGCTGACCAAGGCAGGATAAGAGTATCGGAGCTCCAGGAAAGAAACCAATTTGCCTTCCCTGTTTTGTTCTTTCTGGCTCCCCAGCCTATGAGATGGTGGCGAAGCACACTGAGGGTGGATCTTCTCCACTTGGTCCACTCAGACTCACATGCCAGTCTCCTCTGGAAACTCCCTCACAGACACATCCCAATATAATGCTTACCAGTTCTGTAGGTACTCCTTAATCCGGTAGGTGGATACCTAAAATTAACTATCACAAGATCTGCTGCTCAGAAGAGCTGTGGGCTCTTAAGTGGTGTGGGCCCCTGAAGTCATGGGTATGGATTAGCTCCATGGAGGATAAAGAAGAAATTAAGAAGAGAGTGCCTTGGACAGAGTCTTGGAGATCTCTAATACTTAGTGGCTTTAGCTTGGATGAATGAAACATAAGAATCAGCCAGAAAGTTAGCAGGAGAACAAGGCTGTTTTTAAATACAAGAAGCTCAAGAAATACTATTTCAAGAAGGAGGAAATAGTCCAAAGAACCAAGTGCTTGCTGGTAGTCAAGTATAATGACTGATAAAAGACCTAGTGTAACAAGATGATCGATGACATTAATGAAAAGTATTTCAGGCAAGGATGAGACCAGACTTAAATGAGTAGACTGAAAGGGAGGTAAAAAAGTAGAGACGGCAAACATTATAATTCTTACAAGAAATCTGGTTATTTAGAGAAGAAAAGACCAGAAGCATGATGGAAGGAACAAGAGTAGTGGAGTAAATTGTGATGTGGTGTGTGCGTGTGTGTGTGTGTGTGTGTGTGTGTGTGTGTGTGATGTAAAGCTGCATCTTTAGCTTCTAGAAGTTTTCAATGTAATGTAGGCAACCAGACCAAGAAACAAGCATGCAGCACTTTGATAAGAGTGTGTAAAGACAGCCTATAACTCCGCCTTGGCTATTGGAAGCCAGGAGTCAAGAGTTACAGCCCACCATCTTTGGAAACTGTGGTTTACTGTGAAATTCTTTCTATATTTTGACTGAAGCTTCAACACAATGGGAGCTATTACCATATTGCAAAGCAAGGTGCCAGACCACTGGCAATACTTGCAAAAGAGTTGACTAAAATGGATTTTACGATGTTGCTATCTGCTCACCTTTAGCCTTCATAAGAGGCTGGCAAAGAGAGAGTTTGATATTAGAAAGACATTAGTGGCTTCTTTCTCAGAGAGATCCTGATGGTCTCTGAATTGCACCCCTCCCAGGGAAGGTGTTGTGGAGCGGACTTTTTCCTCACCTCCAGACTAGATGGAGAAACTAACTACAAGGAGGCCACACACACAGCTTGATGATGCCAGGGAACCAAACAAAAGTATGGGTGCTGGGCTAGCTGAGTGCCCAGCAGCAGCAAATAGGGCTGCACGGGCAGGGTTGGAGGGTAACTGCACTTCTCACAGCCATGGTCAAGCGTCTGTATTTCCCGAGGATGATGGCTTAGCCATGCTGGAAAGGTTACGCCTGGAGGTTTTTTTGTTTTGTTTTGAGACGGAGTCTTGCTCTATCCCCCAGGCTGGAGTGCAGTGGCATGATCTCGGCTCACTGCAACCTTAGGCCTCGAGTTTTTATAGCTCCTGTCCAAGTGAACAGCCAAATGGTTCAGTTCTGTGACAACAAACAGTCTAAAGGCATCCACTGTAGTTAGTCAAGATGATTGATGATTTCAAAAAGGGGATTAATGGGGGTAGAAGGCTGATGGCAGAGGGGTGAAATGTGAGTGAGAAGGAAGGAATTATAAACAGTGAATGGGGACAACCTTTATGTAACAGAAGTTGTGAAAAGGAGAGTGGTACATGAAATTAGCTATAGGAAGGGCCTTTGTTTTGTTTTGCTTTTCAAGAATGCCAAAACCTGAGTGTAATCCAGATAAAACTGGGCTTTCTTGCTTTTAGCTTCTTGCTCTGTGTTATGTTCCACTCAATAAATAACAGTATTGCAACAACAGTCACACATATTATTGGAAAGAATACTTTACTTTTGAAAGCCAGAAAGGGCCTCTCTACAACGCACATCGATGTATGTTAGAATTATTTTTTCTTTGTACTTCTCTCCATATTTTACATGCCCTTCTTCCATCCCCCACTCCAAATAGCTCTCCTTTTCTTCTCAACCACCCCACACTCTCTTGTAAACCAAGTTAAAATGAGTTCTTGATTATTCTGTCTCCTGGATATACCTTTAGGATCTATTCTACTCTTCTAGGGGAGAATTCTGCCTTTTCCACTGTAAATTTAGTTATTTCCAGCCTCTCCAGCTCTCCAGGCACATTGCTACTCAACACAGTCATAGACCTTTCTAGGTGATGACATTGGGACAAAAGCTCTTGTCTTTTAAAAGCGATGGAGGAGAAGGCCTTAAATATTCATTCTTTAATATTGTAGCTTTCCATCGACTTAGTATTCTTAAACACTGTTGGAAAAGAGCCAGAGGAAGTGGAGCTGGAAATCCATGGAGTGGGTCCTTGAGGAGAAGCAAGGGTGGGAACAGAGCCCAGGTATAGGGGAACCCTCAGACAGAAGGGCACACCATTTATGGCAGCAGGGGTGGGGGCGGGAGAGGATGGGCGGGATGAAGAGAGGATGTTTGCAGGGAACATGGAAATTGAAAAGTCTGGACATTAAGAGAATTTCTTCATGCAGCTATTTTACCCAGCTAATATAAGGTGAAGACAGTATTTGAATGAAATTAGAGGTGACAAGATATTACCCCAAAGATATATTCGTTCATTCATTTGGTCTAACTCAGCAAACTTTCACTGAGCACTTGCTGTGTGCCAGGCCATGTTCTAGGCACTGGAGGCCCAAGAGAGAACAAGAGAGAGAAAAGCCTTGCTCTCATGGAGTTGATATTCTAGTTTATATTCTGGTTTATATAAACTGCAATACACCCTTATATATTCCAAATATATATTTATATATTCCAGTTCATATCTAGTGTGTTTATTTGCATATAAGCAAACTCAATTTTAAATATTCCAGTTCATATTCTGGTTTGTTTATTTGCACATAAGCAAACTCAATTTTAAATATTGGTAAGTATTTTAAGAAAAATAATATAGAGTCATGGGCAAGAAAGGTTGAAAAGGGAGGAAAAATGACTACTTTTGCTATGATGTCTCAAAAAATCTTCCTGAGCAGATGGATGAGCTCGGATCTGGTAGGAGAGGAACAGCAACAATTGTTGTGTGCCCAAGATGTAAAAATAATTATCAATGAAGTTGACACTTGAATCAAGATAGCCAGACGCTTTTGGGAAACTTACCTGAAACAATTTTTGTAATATAGACTTCCAAAAAAGTTACCAACAATCACCTGGAACTACCTTATCTAATTTTATAAAAGTTCTAAATTATATATGTTGATTTCTCTTAAGGTAAATAACTTTGGATGTGGCTTGTAAATAGCATGCTACTACCAAGTGGACACAAACAAGGTACGATGATGTCGGCATACCTCACAGTAGAGAGGGGAGATGTAAAGAGTGTTCGTGCTTTGTTGAGATCATCAAGCTCTCACTTTGGTTCTTGTATTTCTTATCATAGGGTCATTTTTCTTTCTTACTTTATTTTGTCTTGCTCTTTTGTATGTATCTTTGCAACCTCCCTTAAATTATTCTGTGTAAAAGTTGCATGTCTAAATAAAGGGCATACTCTAGAAACTCAATGATTTTTCTCTCCTGCTTCTTCACTTCTCCAGTCTCCAAATACTGGTGTGGATGTCTGCATCTATCTTGCTGAAGTAAAATTAAAGAACAATGGGTTTTTCATAGCTTGGCTCTTTTTTAACTTGACTCCCCCAGCAGCTGAGCAGTGATATTTGGAGGGTGAAGAAAGATATTGTCAGTGAAGATGGTTCTAGCACTATAGGACTTCTTTGAAGTGGAAGAGAAGATATTTTAGCCAACACTCAGATGCTTCCAAGAACACCCTTGACATCAGAATTCCCTGAAAATAGACATCTCAGGAGCATTAAAGATAAATTTAGGTTATAAAAGGAAGAAGGCATAGCAAGTAGAAAAAAATTACAAAAGCCCCACAAAGATAAAAAGTTGCCTTGTGAATGATGATGGAAGCCTCATCCAGAATCTCTTTCCTAAAACATGAAATTAGTTTAGGTTTTGCAACGCTCGAATTAAAAATACTAATAGCCCATTTCTGCCTATTAAAATGGTGCATAGCTAACGGTGTCTACGCTTCTGTTACACACATAATAAATTAGACTTTGACGTATTTCTGCAATTTCTGTTCGCTTTTTCATTCAGGAAGCAAGCGTTTATTGACATCTCCTATATGCCAGCACTGTGTTAGAATGGCATGGGCAGTATTTATTCAGACAAACCTCATCCCTATCCTAATTGAAGTGTGACATCCTAATGAGTTCTTCTACAACGCTGCTACCTTTGTTAGATCCAGAACTAAAATGAACCATGGAGTTGGAAGACAAAAATACTGATGACAAAATCTATTAATTGTATTTCGGCCCTGGACACTGGTTGTAAGAGGGAGACATCTCTGGTAGGAAATATCAGGAAGTAAAACCTACTAGTTCTGCCCAGTTGGCCCTTCATTATCAATCACTTTGACCTTTCAGCGAGTATGTTTTTCTAATGAGATGAGAGATGCTTGTCAATATTCCAAGATCTTCGGCTACAACTCGACTGTGTGGGTGGGGCATTATTATCATCGTGGATGCAAATTTAAAAGTCTTTTCTAGGCAAGGTTCTCCACTCCATGAGGTCAGAAGCACCTGCTTGCTAAGCTCCAGAATGTTATGCCCCATGGACAATTGAACAGAAAGCAAGTTCGTAGCACTTGCCCATGCTTGGTAGGAGGATGTAAGGGGTGTTTGAACATAAGAACAGCAGGAGCCACCATTATTCCAAATTCCTCCCTTGCCCATAATTAACTAGACTTACCTTAAGCAAATCGGCTTTCTTTGTCTGTCCTTGAGATCTCTTTAAAATATCACTTA